TTTTAGAGGTTTTTGCTATAGGGCACGTGCGCTCGCCAGACAGAGAAAGACAGACAGAAAGCGAGAAATCACCCCCCCACGGGGGATGGCCATGCCATAATTCCTTCTCCTCCTTTCTCCTCTCGGGATCTTGGGCACGCACACACATGCACCCGGCGTGAGTTTTAAGCCACTGGGTCTGGGACGCAAACTGCGGTCGACTACGTGGGAGTCCAGCGACATAGCCATTACGCTAACTGCTGGCCCCAAATTACCAATACTCTTTATATGTTTTGCTCTTCCCATTTATTAGAGGGAAATTGTGCACATTTCAGTCCTGTTCTGTGGTGGTTTATTTTCCTGCAAAACCCAGCATTGTCACTCACAAGCATAATTTCCTCCAGAAGTCTCCTCTATGCAGAATATTTTATTGTCCTATCACAAAGATCAGTAATGGGTTTCCAGATCGGGGCGGGGGAACCCTCTCTTCTCCCCTGTATTTTTCAAGAACAGGAATAGATGATAATAATTGTATTTTAGCATCTTAGTGTTTATTTAATGAAATGTTTCCAAAATTGGAAAATTGCTTTGAGCCACTGGGTTTTTACGATGATTGGTTAACTGACTTAAAAGCCATTAATGATTCCTTATCATTCTAAAGAATAGAGAGCTTCAAACAAAAGTTCTTTATTAGTTCTTCATGAAGAAGACTGTTTTTCACTTAGTATATTATTATCAATTTCATATTGCCTCAATAGCCAGGCACGAACTAATCTTACAGGTTTTGCAGTTTATTATAACATAAGCCCATCTTAACTGGGTTATATATTCTTGTAATATATCAAAAAGTATTAAAATCCAAATAGTACCTAAGCTGAAAAAGCAATGTGGGCATCTGTGACTCACAACTTGGTTGCAGCTCCTTTAGTAAACAGAGCAGTTCACTTTCCAATAGAAGCAACCATTATGGTTCCTGCAAACAACATTCCTTATTTTCCCACTTCACCTTTCCTGTGTTACTTCCTAAACTGCCTTCTCTGCTTTATCTAAGAGAGAAAGCAGGTGCTGCTAAATGATTCAGTTATTAATACCTTAGATGCAGGGGCCTTGGTGAACACATTTAACCCATATCTTTCAGCAGTTACTTGATGAAAGAATATATAAATGAATGAAAAAATGAAAATTGAACAAATAGGCAGTGTAGGAAGCTGAAATATGGAAATAATACCACTTTGCATTTATACCATGTAATTATCTCATTTTTATCTTTCCAGCCATCTCATGACATGTGCAGAATAATATCTATATCATGTTGCAAATATGGCAATCAAGACAAAGAGAGGTAGGTGCCTTACCTAAATTCATCCACCAAGTACTTAGTAGAACCAGTGCTAGAAGGTGATCATGGAAACAGAGCTTCCCTGTGTTTCTTTTCTTGATACCTACTCTATTCATGACAAATGAATAATGACTTCAAAAGGTGGCACTTGCCACTGGGCTAGAAGTGTAGATTTTACACATAATAGTGCAGCACTTACTGGTTAAACATTCAGCATGGATGCCCCTTTTTGTTGGGAGTCTTTGAATTGTGTATATATTTTCCTCTCAGTAATCTCACTCTACTCTGGAGAACATCCTGATTGGTTTAAACCAATTTCGGTAACTGTTTATCTTGCCAGTTTAAGAAAAGAGTAATATACTCAGCTCTAACAATGACATATGAAAGAGTTTCTGAGAAAGTTTTTATTTGTTTGTTTTTTGCTTTTATTTAAAGAAAGAGACAAACAATGGGGTGATGAACAGTCATCAGTTTATAGAGTAATGGACTGGAGATCTTTTCAAAGGAATATTGAATTTGGCATAGGAAAATAGTCTAGAAGGAAAGAAAATGGTATTCAGTGAATGATATGCTTAAAACATATTTTGAAAGTGGTGCAGTACAGATGCCCCTTGACTTATGATGAGGTTTCAACTCAATAAAACTATTATAAATAGAAAATATTGTAAGTTAAAAATGCATTTAGGGCTGGCAATATAGTGCAGTCGGTAAGCGCTATGCATTGGGATCCAGATCCCACATAAATCTTTGGCAGCTTGAATCTTGGCCCCAGGAGCTTGAAAAACACATCAGGTACATGTGTGTGCATGCACCAAATCCTAACAGGATGGAGAAATGGAGGAAAAGGAATTGTGGCATGACCATACTCCACTGGTGAATGCTCTCCCTTTCTCTCTCTGGCAAGTGTGCCTGCCCTCTGACAATTAAAAAAAAAAATGTGTTTTTGAGATGCTTCTCAATTTATAATGGAGTGGTTTTTTAGTGAATGTGTATTGCTTTTGCACCATTGTAAAGTTGAAAATTTGTACGTCAAAATATCTGGAGACTGTTTGTGGTTGTAACTAATGAAATGAAATAGCTTAGAATATAAGATTAAGAAAGTTTAGTAAAGGCAAGTTAAATAAAACAAATCATTTACAAGTAAGGAGGTAAAATAATGGCCAAGAAGTCTTGGCTACAAACTTCTGCTCCTACTAGCCCCACTAGCTTTTCATCCTCCACTGAACTATAAACCCCTGTGGAGTGCCCCGGCCCTAACATGGCGCCGAGAGCACCCAGACCTCTACATAAACAAGCCCATTATTTGGTTATTGTTCCTGTTCCGGAACGCGTAGGCACTGCCTCAGCCTATCAGTGCTTGCCTGGTGGCAAAAGAGGACTGGTTTGCGGGACGGATATATAGGGAGCCCGGGTGGGCTGGGAAGAAGAAGAGAAGAAGAAGAAGATTGTAAGAAGCCTGGGGTAATAAAGCGTTCTGGAGAAGACCTTGTCAGCGTCGTCATTTGAAGCGACAAACCCCTCCTTCCCAACATCTAAAAAACCCCAGCATGCACCAAATCCTAACAGGATGGAGAAATGGAGGAAAAGGAATTGTGGCATGACCATACTCCACTGGTGAATGCTCTCCCTTTCTCTCTCTGGCAAGTGTGCCTGCCCTCTGACAATTAAAAAAAAAAATGTGTTTTTGAGATGCTTCTCAATTTATAATGGAGTGGTTTTTTAGTGAATGTGTATTGCTTTTGCACCATTGTAAAGTTGAAAATTTGTACGTCAAAATATCTGGAGACTGTTTGTGGTTGTAACTAATGAAATGAAATAGCTTAGAATATAAGATTAAGAAAGTTTAGTAAAGGCAAGTTAAATAAAACAAATCATTTACAAGTAAGGAGGTAAAATAATGGCCAAGAAGTCTTGGCTACAAACTTCTGCTCCTACTAGCCCCACTAGCTTTTCATCCTCCACTGAACTATAAACCCCTGTGGAGTGCCCCGGCCCTAACATGGCGCCGAGAGCACCCAGACCTCTACATAAACAAGCCCATTATTTGGTTATTGTTCCTGTTCCGGAACGCGTAGGCACTGCCTCAGCCTATCAGTGCTTGCCTGGTGGCAAAAGAGGACTGGTTTGCGGGACGGATATATAGGGAGCCCGGGTGGGCTGGGGAGAAGAAGAGAAGAAGAAGAAGATTGTAAGAAGCCTGGGGTAATAAAGCGTTCTGGAGAAGACCTTGTCAGCGTCGTCATTTGAAGCGACAAACCCCTCCTTCCCAACATCTAAAAAACCCCAACTTACTCAGCAACTTTTCCATGAATTTTATTAAAATAACATCATTTTATAGAGATACTTTATTTTATTTTGCCAAAGGAGAGCATTTAATGTTTCATATGTATAGAAAACTCAGCAGTGTACATTAACCCAGTTTGGTGGCAAGTTCTTTAGCATTTGCCTTTTTCAACTTGGCAATGCAATCCAGATTTGGGGCCTAGGAAATTGCCTCCCCAGTGATGGCTGATCTCGTCATCTCTGTTGTAATTGATACTGATTGCTTCCACCAGCCTAGTCAGAGCGCCTTTGTCCTCCAAGTTAACCTGTGTGAAGGCAACAGTGGTGCAGGTTTTCCTGTGTACCAGGCATCCCAGCCTGGCGTTCCTCTTGATAATGCAGTATGGAAGCCCCTCTGACACAGGGTAGGCAGGAAAACAACCAGCTCGATGGGGTCCATGTCATGTGCAGTCACCACCTGCTGCCTTCTAGTTCTCCATCAAGGTGATAACAGTGTTGACCCCTGCTTGAAGGACAAGTGGTCTCTTAGTGGGAACATCCCCTTTACCGGCAGCTTTCTTCTCAGCCTGGCCAGCAGTTTCTGCTTCTTCTCTTGTCTCTGGCCTGTACTTGTGGGCCAGCATGAGCACCTAAATAGCTATCTGACAGTACAGGGCCTGGGCAAATTGGTTAATCACAGAAGGCACTTTCAGTCACTTGCCGAGGATAGCCCTCTGCCACTGCAGTCAGATGTAGCAGGGGCATTGGATGAAATGGGTGAGGTACCTTTTGGGCTAGATGTCCTGTTCTATGCCAAAATTCTTAGGCCTTTTCTCAAGGAATTTGCCATCTTTTTGGCCTCCTGCTTCTTTATGATAGCAGGGGCCAGAGTTACCTTCTTCACCTTGGCCTTTTTTCCCTTTGGCATCTTGAGCAACTGAGACATTTTATTTTTAATAGACCTTATTAATAGTTTGGAAAGCTGGAAGAAATTGACATCACAGAGATGCTAGTCATCTTAAGTGTAATCTTCAAAAATATTTATTCTTAAAACAAGATACACACAAGAAAGAAACAACTTCCTTGGACATGGTCAAATATGATGACTGGACCTGTTGCAGCCATCTTGCAACCAATGAGGAACCAGCTTGAAAACAAAGCAAACAGAATGAGTAAACATAGCAGATGGTGGAAAGAATCTGAATCTTTGATGCTACTGAGCAGATGAATTAAACCTAAAGTATATCTACTATGGGGTATGTTTTAAGGAATCTAAATGTCTTTACTATTTAAACAACCATTGTTCCCCTATTTCTGTAGACATTTTCCTAACTGATATAAATATCTTTTGACTCATTAACTTACCACAATCCTACATGAATCCCTTAAGATGTCTTTTCAAGGTTTTCTTGATTTTGCTGAAGTCACCGATGGAGAATAATAGAAAATCTCAGATGATAATTTTCTGATCCTATCTTCTTACAATAACCTTGGGCTTTTCACTCATTATCATGCTTTATGAAGCATGAAAGCATTGAGAAGAGTAGGATAAGATGTCTGATGATGGAAGTTATCAGGGTCAGGAAAGATGGGTAGGCAGGTGAAACATAAAAGCTAATCAGGAGATGCGAGTCAAAATCAAAGCGAAGGTACCTCTTCAGAACAGATCATTAAAAGGGCAGTCTTAGGAACATATAGGCCATACCTTTGAGGAGAACTGTTCAACCCACATTACAGTAATACATCACTTAGCTCTATACATGGGCTACAAAGGAACTTTCTCAATGATGAAGATCTGTATTAGAAACTCACAGGTAATGTAAAACTCAATGGGAAAAGACTGAAAGCTTTTCTCCTAAAATAAGGAATATGAATAAAGATGTCTACAATTGCCAATTCTATTCAACATAGTATTGACATTCTAACTAGACCAATTAGGCAAGATAGAGAAATAAATCTAAATTTGAAAGGAAAAAGTAAAACTGTCTCTACTTGCAGATGACAAGAACACAGAAAACCCTAAAAAGTACACAAATCTCTTAAAGCTAATAAAGCTAATAAGTAAATTCAGCAATTTCAGAATACAAAATCAACAAAAATGAGTAGTACTTTTACACATTAGCAATGAAAAATCTGAAAAGGAAACTAAGAAAACAATATAAAAATTTACCATGTAATATGATAGTAATTGAAACAATAGGGATCTGGCACAGGGTAGATAGATAATCCAATGGAATAGAACTGAGAACCCAGAACTAACACATTTATGGTCAATTGATTTTCAACAAATGTGCAAAGATTATGGAGTACTCCCTGAACATTCCAGGTATGTGCATGCCTATGATCTGGGGCTGGCTGAAGCTGGAGGTAGATTGTCATGTAAAGACCCTGAATTGCTGGCCTATAAAAATCCACCACGAAGACAGAAGTCAGATTACTTGTAAATGTTACCCAGCAGGCTAACATCAGACCTCTCATAAGATACTATGTGAGCAAGGAAAGAATGGAAAAATATATTCAAAGTGTTAAGTGAAAACCAGTTTCAACCAAGAATACTATACCTGGCGAGATTATTCTTCATATGGAAAGAAAGGATAAAAACATTCTCAGATAAAAAAGACCTGAAAAAATTTGCCAATACCAGACCCACTTTTCAAGAAGTTCTGAAAGGAGTCCTCTACCAGGAAAACTAAAGACACACATACAGAAATAAGTGAACAAAAGCAACCAAGAAAATGACC